GGTAAGCCCAAGAACACTCGACGTCTGCGAGAACAAGATCGTGTTCGCACAAATAAACGCTCGGGACGATGCGGATGTCCTATGCGCATCAAAATTGTTGCTGTTGATGGTACGAATCCTACAGGACCATGGAAGATAATGTACACTCGAGATGGCAGTCAAACCCATAACCACCCACCTTCTCGAGATATACGCGTGCACGTCACTCATCGTCAACGTGCAGCCAAGACCGATCATCCTGGTAAAAATCAAAACGTGAATGAACTCATTTTCGCACATGACGCTGCTGGTATCTCTACGTCTAGGACGTATGCTACACTGATTCACTCTGATAAAGATACGTTGATCATTCCTGCAGACATTTCAAACACAAAGGCAACGCATCGACGGAATCTGCTTGCATCGGCTAGTCCAATTGACGTTCTTTTCAAATTTCTCCAAGAACATAAATTCGAATATCGCTACGAAGTGGAGAGCGGAAGTAACCGATTACGTTATCTTCTATGGTCACATCCAGGTGCCCTGGAGCTCGCCAAAGATTATTTAGATGTTTTGGTCCTCGATTGTACCTACAAAACCAACAAGTACAAGTACCCGTTACTCAACATTGGCAGATTATCTTGATAGCACCTGGTGGACACACAAGGAGAAAATTGTTAAGTATTGGACTGATAAACACCTGCACTTTGGAATTCTCGATACGTCTACTGTTGAAGGGACTCACGCAAAGATCAAGTCGTGGTTGGACTCCTCAAACAATGACCTGCTCACTGTTTTCCGCAGACTTCTACCGTGGTGGGAATCTGCAGTTAACTCATGTAAATTGAATGCACAACGCGATGCCAGCAGAGTAGCCTACAAACTGTGTGATCCGGCATTTTCAAACGTTGTGAAGATTGTTACCGCGTACGCACTAAGTGAAACTTATCAGTTGTGGAAAGCAGCCGTTAAACATGTTCACGAGATGATCAAAGACCCAACAAAAGAGAGTACAACGCAGCCATGTACTGGAAAATTTCGCCGCTGCTATGGAAGACCGTGCGTACACGAACTGATTCATGTGTACCAGTCTGACGGATCTAAACTTCTTCTGCCTAGTGATTTTGATCGCCATTGGTGGGTTCGAAACAGTGAGAACGACCGAGTTGGCGAAGTTTTGGAACCTATTATACGAACGACCAAACGGAGAGCAACTTCGAAACGAGCTTCACACAAAGCCGGTGAGGGCGCCAATAGCACGAGACGAGAGCTTTCCCACTTTGAATTGGATGCTGAGACGAGTTTCACAGATAGCTGGATGGATATGGACGCGAATCTGCCTCCTCGTTTATGGGGCTCTGCGGGTTT